GTCTTTTGGTTTTGTGGACTGTTTCTTTTGCTGTGCAAAAGCTTTTTATCTTGATGAAATGCCAATAGTTCATTTTTGCCCTTGCTTCCCTTGCCTTTGGCGATGTTTCTAGGAAGAAGTTGCTGCGGCTGAGGTTGAAGAGGTTGCTTTCAAGCTCAGATTTCTCTTAAAACAAACAAACAAACAAAAAAAACCCAACACCAAGTAGATTTTTCACAGCGATTCTGAGTCCTCAGCAACAGTGATCTTAAGCATGCAAAGCATCTACAAATTATTGTGTTCTTGGAAGAACAGTATTATTTGCAAAGTGTAATGGAAAAAAAAATACTTTCAATTTCATCACAGGAACTAGGAGCAGGAACCCTGGGAGAAAATACTGTATTTTGCTTGTGTAATGTAAAATGACAATTTGGGCCACACATGTCTATTTAAAAAACATTATTATACTAGGTATAATTAATGTTTCTGAATTGGTTCTGTTAATAATAATAACTCATGTTCATTTACTTGTTTTCATTTGGCTTGCAAACAAAATTGTGCCAACCAATAGAGATTTAAAAAACATATAGGGAAGAAAAAATCTTATAACAAGGAATTTGTATAAATTTACTTAAATTAATCTGCATACTGAGAAAAGGCCACCATTATTCTGATTTGTTAAGGAACACCTCAGCTGACATACAACAGTCTTCCGTGAAAATATAGTTAAAAACCACTGGCCTGCTGGGAAAAATCTAAATCCTTCAGTTTGGTATAAATACTAATTAAGCATCTATTACATACTAAATTTCATATTAACATATGTTAAACTATTATCTGTTTAATCCTCACAAAAAAACACGTTATTATTCCTGTTTTATAATTAAGGAAACTGAGACACAGGATAATCAGTCGGGTGAAAATCTGCTGAATGAAAATAGAGCTGGGTAGTGAATGCAGGCAGTCTAGCAGTAGAGGTGGGCTTTTCCTCCTACATTTCTATCTTCTCCTAATTAGGAGTTTCCAATATTTGAGTCTAGCTT